CAGTTGATAGATCCTCGAGTGTTTCGATGTGCACAGCTCGTGAACATAAGCATGTGAACAATAATCCATATCTTTTGACTTCCTTCCTTCCTTCCTTTACTATGAACGGACCGAAACAATCAACACCGCAGTACGTAAAAGGAGGAGCTGTTTGTGTTCTTACTTCTGGCAAATCTGCCATCTGTTGAACGTTTGTTGCCTTTCGGTATCTTCTACACTTAACACAACGGTAAATGTGTGAAGAGACTAAACTTCCAGATCCTAAGATCCAGATCCCATTTGCACGCAGTTCATTGATAGTCATGCCTCTTCCTTGATGATGTACACGTTCATGATAGTGTTTGACGAGTAGAGCTGACAAATGGGACTCCTTTGGAAGAATTGCAGGGTGTTTTACATCAGGATGCAAGGACGTTTGGGATAATCTACCCCCTACCCTGAGAACTTCTGATTTATCAAGAAAAGCGTTCAACTGCTTTAGTTTACTTTGCTTGTGCAACGAATTTCCATGTTGAGATTTGATTTTCTTTATTTCCTCAGAAAAAACATCATTTTGCACTAGCTTGATCATGAATAGCTAAGTGTCTTTTCTCTCTTCAAGATCAGTCTCTTTGTTTGTCTTTTGTTGAATACCTCTGTACTCTTTGATGAATCGTTTTAGTCTGGCTATAGCTCTTACAGCTTTCATCCAACTGGAGAACTTCTTTAGACGCTCTAGCCGTGGGTTTGCTTCCTTTGAACACACTGAATGTGTATGACCTCTACGGAGTTCTGGATCTGTTTCCTCAACTTCTCCCACCATTTCCTCTTTGACTGGAAGATCTTGTCTCCAAAGGAAATCGGGGCCCTTTAACCAGCTTGATTCTTTCAGCTGAGCAGCACTCAAACCTCGTGAGGCTTGATCAGCAGGATTTTCTTCTGAGCTTACATGGCGCCATTTTTCAGAACTTGTACTTTGTCTTTTTCGCTGGATTCGATTAGCAACGAATGTATGAAATCTTTTCGCGTCATTGCTTATATAAGCCAATACGACTTGCGAATCTGTCCAGTAATATTCCTGTAGAGTTTCAATTTCCAGTTCTCGCTTGATTACATCCGCGTTGCGAACTGAAGTCACAGCCGATGCCAATTCAAGCCTGGGGATGGTCATTTGTTTAATGGGCGTGACTCTTGCCTTACCCATAACAAATGAGCAACTGATCTGTCCATCTTTGCTTTGTTTTATACCTTTGGTCACCTTTGACATGAACAAAAGGTCTTCCTGAGAGACTGGATTGTCGTCCGTTGCATGCTCGGAGAAATCAGATTCCAAAGCCCTTATTACATCAGCTGGACTAACTTCCTTTACTTGAGTTTTGCATACTTGTTGCTGGAGGTTCACTGTGGGTTGTGGCGCAGGAGTTACTTCACAAACAATGATCCTGTGACTTGTGCCAATGACATCACTGTCATTTTCAATCTGAGACGAGCAGCCAACTATGCTCCAGCCGAGATCAGTTAACTGTGCGTATGGTTGGTTGTCCTTGCCCGCAATAACCTTTCGTGGTAGGAGGGCTTGTTGACAATTGTATCCAATAAGTAGACCAACTTTACATTCAAGCAAAGGAGGTAGTTTATCTACTAGGCTTTCTAGATGAGCCCACTTTAAGGCGGTTTTAGATGTTGGGATATGTGATCTGTTCACAGGAATAAACTCCCTTGTATAAACTGGTGGTAAGATGATTCTCTTTTCATGTGTATACCCCCTCACTTGAAGGTTTACCAGCTTCTCACATGGTATAACTGTTGATTTTGCAGACATGGTGGATAGTTGCAGATTGGTTTTACTTTTATCTGTGTCAAGATCTTGAGCTATTTCATCTAAAATAAAGGATGTATCACTCTGAGAATCGAGCAGTGCATACACCAACACTTCCCTGTCAGGGTCGTTTCTAGATGAAACCCAGACAGGTAGTATAGAGGATGTTAACGTATTTGAGGTGGCTTGAGTTGCTCTGTTAGAGATTGCCGTGGCTGGTTCATCTCCTTCTTTGGCGTTTTCTTCGTGTTTGTCTTGAGGGTTATCATCAGTTGCAGGTATTACTCTTTTACATTCAACAAACTTGTCGTCGTGAAGACACGTTGGATGCCTCCTTTGACATTTTTCACATGTGCTTCTTTTATCACACCTTTTCGAAAGATGTCCACCTTTCAAACATCCAAAACACAGCCTTTCCGCTTGTACAAATTTGACGCGTTCTTGGACAGTTTTTTCTCTGAACTTGAAACATTTATCAAGTGAGTGACCCCTTTTCTTATAGAAAAAGCAAATTACAGCATTCACGTGACCTGAGGGGGTTGAATGATTCGAATTTACTGTTAATGTTTTTGCTTGAATGACTTGGTTACGTAACTGTTTTGGTTTACTTGTTTCCAAATCCTTCAGGGCTTGCATTGAAGCTATGGGATCGCATGCTAAGTCAGCTTCAGTGGATACAAAATCCACAAATGAGTAAAATGGTGGATACTGTCCACTAATATTTTTTCTCATTTCCATGGCTGCACGATTCCATCTTGTCGTCAACCAGTCTGGAAGTTTCAGCAAGAGTTTCTGAATTTCCATACAGTCATTGAGAACATGTAAGGACTGTATCTGTGACATTGCAGCTTCACAACTTTTAAGGAAATCTGCAAAATCTCTAAGCTCATTTCCATCCTTTGAGCTTATTTTAGGCCAACTGTGAAGCTTGTCTCTAAAACATTTTCCCATGATGAACAGGTCTCCAAAGCGCTTTTCCAACACTTCCCAAGCTGCATCGTATGCTGCATCTGTGCCCACTAGGAGAAATCCTTCAACTGCTCTCTTTGCGGGTCCACCAAGGTACTTCCTGAGATAGTAGAGTCTTTCATTCTTTGGAATGTTTTTCCTGTCAATCAAGGTTTCAAATGACAACTGCCAGTCTTTGAATTTTAGAGGATCACCAGTAAATAGTGTAGGTTCTGGAGTTGGCAGACGGTTAGCGCTTATTGCTTCAGCTAGAACGCCAACTAGATCCAGATTAGACTGTGGCTGATTTGCAGCAGCAGAAACTTGTATGGCTTGAGGGATAAATGGTGGACTTGATGCTTTGAGTGGTTGGCTAATGGTCACCTGAGGTGGTACACCAGGATTTCGTTGAGATTGGTTTATGACTGTAGGAACGTTTGGAACAAATGCAGGGCTTGTGGCATCTTGGAGATGAGCTGCAGTTTGAACTTGAGGGGGGACGTTTAATGGGATGCATATAGCTTGGGTTACACTCTCTGCTTTAATGCTCTGTGATGAGCTCTGACTTCCAGAAACACTCTCGGCTTCATCATAAACCTTTACTCGAGCCTTTGCAGCATTTAACCTTTTAACTTCATCCAAACGTTTAATCTTTCTACGCTGCTCTTCTATTTCTTGCAGCCTTTCAAAGTGCTCACGTTCCAATTTCTGTAGCTTGGCTGCTTCCCTCTCCTGTTCTTCCATTACAGCTAATATCTCCTGAGATGCAGCTGCCTCTGCTTCAGCTTCCATTCTTTTGATAGGTTGTGAGCCTGAGTGATCTGAACCACGTTTAGACCGATGGGATTTTGACCCTGATTTAGTCCTTTCAGATCCTAAGCATGACCCATAGTCTGGCCATGGCTCTTCATCACCTTCTGTGAATTCCTCCCGTAGCTGCTTTTCAGCTCTTTCCAAAATGAATGCAGAAAGTGATGTGCATGCATCTACTTTGCGTCGTACATCTGCATCTGGAGTTGTTATGTGCCTTATTTGTTCATAAATGGTTTGAACATCTTTGCAGGTAGCACTTATGTTGTTAATCAGCTCCTGTAATTCACTCTCTGGAGCTTCTTTCCTTAATAACACTTTGCTCAATCTCGCTTCATATCTCCACTTTTCAAAAACAACTGCGTATTTGTGTTTGAGACCTTTAAGCTTCTCCTCTTGAAGCTCTTTACCCTTTTCAGTGAGTGTTCTTACTCTTTCACCCCTGCGAACAGTCTGCCTTTCTGCAGCTTGCTGAGTACCATCTTCTCCTTCAGTAAATGCTCCAGCTTCATCTTCATGATCTTTGTCGGCCATCTTGTGAGTCGAGTCAAATGTCAGTCAATTCTGTATCTGAATTTCAAAATACTCTAACAATATAACCTTTAAGTAACAATGACCTTCACTCAACACAGATGCACTCCTACTTAAACCATGTAAGCGTAATTCCTTTTGACCTTAAACAGATTGCACAAGGCACTTTAACAACAATGTTTTCCTTTTGAGATATTGTAGAAATTACAAAACCATTGACAAATGTGCTATAGAAGCTTAATGTGGTTCTTTAAACTTGACTTAATTACCACCCTTCTTTCACTTTTAGCACTGTCCTTTGTTAATTTCCACCATACAACAATTAAGTAACATTACTGCTGTGGTCGGCAGCGGTGAGCTTAGGTAATGGCGCCCTCTTGTGGCAAGCCGCGATACCGTCATTTACTGCCGTTCCCGTCGTCTTCTTCTGCCGTTGGCTTCTCACCGGCTCAAGCTGGACGAGTTTTCACTGTAACTCCGAAATGACCACACTGGCTCGGCTTCCTGACGACAGGCGTTTAATAAACAAGAGAAGCGCCTGTCGTCAGGAAAATTTGAGTAATTTTATGACACTTACAGTGAGAATATGTTTTCGGACTAAATTGGTAATAAAAACTCAACCAGCACAGACCCAACTGGGTAGTTTTCCAGTTTTGAGAATAAAGAAATGAACTCTCCAGTGATTTATAGATGATGGCGGCATTCTTCCAAATCTAGTAGTGTTGCGAACCAAATAATTTGGTGAGGAGTTTAAAACCTTTAAAAAAAAATCACCAGGCAGAGCAGACACATGTGGCATTAATCAGGGTCCATTATTTATTATTAATTCAGATTTGCAGAGGATGTTTATCTTCTGGATCAAAAACCTATTTTGGATAGTAAACATTATGGCCGTGTTCACTGTTTTTCCCAGTTATTTGGATGTCTCGTATGGATCCTGGTGGCGTCCTCCAATGTGCCCGTGCCACTGCTGCAGGGCTGGGTGATGTTTGTGTCCGTCACCACCTTCCTCCTCTCTTCTTCCTACCTCACCCTCCTCATCACGGGTTTGGCTGACCGCATTAACACGGACTGGAACTTCTTGGTAAGCTTTAGACAAACGTCTCAGCTCGTCAGTATTTTGTAAACCCTCCTGTTCACTGGCTAAAGTTTATTATACTGTTTTCACATTTCCAGTGACAGACAGAGAAAGCTCTGTATCCTTGTGATGTTGATGGAGGAAATGTTTTTTTTTTAAACTGTAATAAAAAGATTCTACACTAAATTTTTTTATTCTACCAGAAATGGTTTGTTAAAGCAGCCCCTTAAAGGGGATGTATTATGCAAAACCTACTTTTTGCATCTCCACACTCCAAACTATTAATTATTTTTATTATGGATTCTTATTGTTGACCGTGCTTATCTGCTTTGTTGTGTGTTTTTATTACTGTGTTTTTGTTTTTATGTTGTGTTTTACTTTTTATCTGTACAAAGGCCTGGGACAGTAATCAATAAAACAATTAATTGTACTATAGATGAAAATAGGGCTGCTCAATTAATCAAATTTTAATCCCAATTACAATCTCAGTTTTGAACAATTATAAAAAAAATCAAGCTTGATTATTTGCTCCTCCCTCTTGCGCTGCCCCGAGTTGAAAATGAAGCGCTCTTCTCACAGTGTTGCCAACTTAGTGACTTTGACGCTATTTTTAACAGCTTTTCAGACCCCCTTCTTGACTTTTTAAATCTTAAAAGTACCTAGCAAACACCTCAGAAACATCTCTGGCAACCCTTAACTACTTTCTGGATAACTGTCGTTGACATTTCCTGCAGGTTAGCTAAACACTCCGCCTGCGCTCCGGATCGTCCTTCAGGACATTAGGAAAGGGAATGATGTAGTGATGTGTCGGTCACTAAATAAACGGCTCTCAGAGCCGGCTCCCTGTTGGATTAACCAGAGTGAGTGACACACACCATACCTGCGGGCTCCTGAGCCACTAAAAACGGCTAAATGTGCGCGTGTGGTGCACTAAACACATGTGCAGCTTGCCCCTGATTGCTGTGAGACCGGGTTGGAGGGTGGGGGGTGCAGCTGTAGCGTCATGAATGTCGCTGTAGCGTCATGAATGTCCTGTTTTTGACCTAAAGGTCATGATCTGCTGTGTCTGCTCGAGCAGAGACATAAAGTCTCTGACAGGCTCATCTACATGAGATTGTGGCCAAGGTCTTTCATGCACTCTGCTCATCTGAACTGCTTCAACTCTCTTACAGCGAAGACGAACAACTATTTTGATAAATACATAATCAACAACTTTGTTAATTACCAATAATAATGTTCAATATTCAATCAATCTGTGAAATGACAATGTTATTACTTGATATTATAATCTTGTGATCAGTAGTATTTTACAAGTTATTATAATCCTGGACATTTGCACTAGACACTGATTACTCGTAATGCTAAAGTCACACGACACATTTCCCTTTGTCTGACCCAATCATAACCTTCGTTTCGGGCTAGGCGTGGTTATCCGTGGTGTTTGTATAAACCCTCTTTTGCACGTCAAATTCTGATTCGTCAGTAAACCAAAATATGACAATTATAAAAACTATCCCACGCCACCTTTTCTTTAGTTCAAAGCGTTCTAGAGAAGTCTCGGACCGGCCATCCAGACTTCCTCTTCAGCCATAAAGAACCTCGACAAGCTGGATAAAATCTGTTGCAAGTTACATCTGACCGCAACGGTTCCTTCAGAATAAAAGCTGAACCTCACGACCCCTTCAGGGTCTCGGAGAAGCCAGTGATAACCTGTCGTGGCCTGGAAGCATTCCAAGACTAGTTTGGTCGGCACCACTGCTTTTCTACCGGCTTCTGTACTAAAGAGGGTTCACGAGGACCTCGGCATTCTGGAGCTGACAGGGCCTTCCCCCGGGGTACGTAGACCGACAGATGGCGTTTCATGTGTGTTTATAAATCTCCTACTAAAGTCTAGAGCGAAACATTCACTCCCACTCAGAACTAACTGCTTCTCCGGATCCGCTGGTTCTGAATAACATTCCACACACACACACACACACACACACACACACACACACACACACACACACACACACACACCATCATTCATCTCATGTCTCACTCCACCTTAGTTCCATCAGTACACAGTGTTTAAGTTAGTCTTGTTTAATCTGTGTAGAAATAAATTTCTTAACTATTTTAAACCTGACTCTCTCTCTTTCCTTGGAGTTGATACGAAGTGTTGCTTAATCCCTGCAAAAAAAGTTCCAATCTTCTGGTTAAAATAGTCAAAGGTCCATCAGATTGATATTTCATATTTCTATGGAACCTCATATTTTATGGTTCATAAGTAAGATGTAAACGACCCGATCTTTACACAGCTGTGGTTGGGACAATTATTACATTAACTGATGGACCTGTAAATAAATAGTTTATAAATAAGGTAGAAATAGATAGAAATAAGTTCCTCACGCTGATGAATAATAACTAATCTCTCTGAGGACACGGTGCTAGTGCACTCTCCTACAGCACCTTGACATAACTAAATACATATTACGCAAAATTTTGTAATCATCAATTTATTTGCATTTATTTGTTATAAATGCCACTGTATAATTCTTGCTGCCAGTATGTTGGTATTTGGGTCTGTACTGGTAAGACTCAAAGACCAAGTCGCTCCATATCAACATTTTTTTTGCTGATAAACTATATAAATGAGTGTCTGATTGTGCTGTAGACAAATGTATTCAATAATTTGATATTTTAGTGCATGTAGAAGTCAAGTCCATTACTCGAACTTCTGAGGCTGCTAGACCGGGACCTGGTTGACGCCCTGTGTTGATCCGATGTTGACTAATTAAACTACTATTTGCTTAAAAAAACAACCTTAAGTGTGGAATTGTTATGATAATGCTTCTTGTTTAATGTTGATTGCATTCCAGGTGAAACAATGATAGGAGTAATTTGCTTACTTTCCCATTCAAACTTCCTCACGCCACAGCGGTCAATAACCTGTTTGCCCTTCCGGAATAGTGCCTGACGCCAACAATGACATCACTACCTTTATTCCGACCAGTAATAATGACACGCCCACATATCAATTAAAACATCAAGACCAAAGAAAAGGAAACAACATATTTGGCTCCTACAGTGCATCTTAGTTAAAATTTAAATATTCTGCCTAAAACTGTCGGTGATGCACCGTCGTCAGGCAAAACTCAGCCCTGCATTTGAATTTAAATCTGCCATCGCTACTGGCTAAGAGGTACACAATGATGTTGGATGGTACATTATGATGTCACAATGCCATGAGTGTGTGTATTTGTTTGCAGCTCCACCCTCTTGGTCTGCTAGGCAATGGCATTTGTTGCATTTTCAAACAGGAAGTAGGAGTCGAGTAAGAATCTGGTCATGGATGACTTGCTCTTTAAATGAGCTAAACCAAGGTCTATAGCCCTTGGGTCATAAACTATAAGTATATTGGTCTTTTTATGCTAGGAATCAGGAGTTATTTTTGTGATCATCTTGTTTCTTATTTATTTTTGTCCTGATTTTGCCCTGAGCAATTTTATGACCGAATAAAAACAAATAAAATCAACATTAATAGAAAAATCGTCTTAAATAATCGAGATCTCAATTTCAGTCACAATAATCGTGATTATTATTTTTGTCATTATCGAGCAGCCCTAGATGAAAATGAACTCAATAATTTTTCCAGCCTCAATATGTCAAGGTTAAGAAATGTACAACTCTATTATTCTTACTTATTATCATTATTGAAGTGCAAATGTGCTTGTTGACACTGGATAGATTCCGGAGGTCTTTCCTCCCCACTGCTGTCAGACTCTACAACAAATCTGTTGGATGAAGTGTACTCTGTATTTCTAAGCTGTAGATAGTATGGTTATTTTTTACCCCATTCTTAAGGTATAAATTATCAATTGTATTGAGTTTATTTTATCTCATTACGATCGAACTTATTGTATTTTAGTGTTTTCTCCCTCTGCTGCATAACTTTTACTTTTACTTTTACTTTGGCTGTAAACGAAACAAATTTCCCACTTGTGGGACTAATAAAGGTTATCTTATCTTCTAGGCCACTGTATTTATTGTTTTGAAGAGACAGTCTATTGTATTGATTTGATTCAATATTTTCCAACAGCATGAAAGTCATTTTTTATTTATTCAAAATTAAATAAAGTTAAAAGTTAGTTTTAAAGTTTAAAGTTAAATAAAGGTTTAATTGTTGCATTTTAAAGGGTGTACTTGCATTATGACATATTGACGTTACATAAGTGGTTATTTTGGTCTCAATAATGTCGACAATAATATTGTTAATCGTCAATAATTTGTTGGACAATATATCGTCCAGCTAGATTTTATTATCGTCCCAGGCCTATCTGTACGGCACTTTGATTGGCTACCATGCCTTTTTTAAATGTTCTTTATAAATAAAGGTAGTATGGTATGGTAACTTAAATCTCAATGTTTCCTGTCAGTGTTTAGTTTTAGAAAGTATGTGTCTAAAACAAACTGTTTCAAAAAGCCTCCATTTGTGATGTCACAAATGGGAAAAGTAGAATATAACCACCTCTCATGTGCAAGAGAGACCTGCTGCTGGAGAAGTGGCTCTACTACAAGCCCGTCCCGGATATCCGAGAAGCTCTGAGCTTCTCAGCTTATTGACCCTTTGCTCGTGACGTCACACCAATCATGTGACCGCCCCCTTCGCCATGATGGACGGCAAAAAGACCGTTTACACCCGTAGAAACTCCAGTGAAGCTAGTCAAAACAAGCCAGTTTGTAGCCTTTTATGTCTTTTATTTAGTTGATTTGACAGTAAAATGGTTTTAGCTTGCTGCGTGGTCGGCTGCACTAAGAGACAAGGACGTAAACTCAACTCGTTTTTTCTTTTTAATAACTTTGATGGAGACTGAGGATGGGCATGAACTGCAGCGATCAATCAAACGGACTAGCAGGCCTCAGATTTGCAGCAAACATGTTTTTAGCGGGTAAGATTAACGTTCATTTATTTCACGAGGAAGACAGGGACAAGGATAAATGATGTGTTTATACTAGTTATTTATAATCCTGATGGGTGCGTATTTCACCATGGAGGCTGCGCTCCGTCCACTGTAGTGTAAAGCGAGACAATTATTAACAATATTAAAGCTCCGATGTATGATTACGTGTGTCAAAATTACGTTAGTTATTTATTTATATGAGCGGCGGTGTTCAGAGATCTTCTCATTCCGGTGTGAGAGCAGCAGCTGGACCCGGTAACACCACCAGCAACAGAAGCTGGTAGGGATCCGGACTTTTTAAAAATCAGCTTTGGTGTAAAGTGAAAAGCTGTTTACAACATAAAGCTATAAATCCAGAGGAGTGAATTTAGGCAAAGTCAGCAACATGTTTACATCGGTGAACAGCTGCAGAGAGACGTTAGCTAACGTTGGTAAGCTAGTTAACATACCGCTCTCTATGAACCCCGGCTAGATGCGGTACTTCTTCTGATAACTGAACAGGGCATGAACTAGTTGAAGGAATGCTGGAGGAGTTTTGTTTTTGTTTTGATCTCAAAAAACAATTTCAGGCTCTACTTTTCCCCTTTGTTTAGTAATCGTGTTGCTCACTATTTACATGCTTTTGCCATCCACCATGGTGGACCCACGTGATAAGGGGATGTCGGTGCAAAGGGTCAATAGTAGCCTTAGTGGGGGTTAGGTGGGCGTGGCCAACTCTAGCTTGTTTCTTAAAATGACAGAGCCGTGAAACAGCTCATTCTAGAAGGTACTAAAACTGTCCACAATAAAACTGCTCAAATGGCTTCATGTGAGAGGGATTTAGTGCATGAATTTTTTCCATCGACCATAGAACTATTGTAACTTAAAAAATGAATTCTTAAGTATTCTTTTATGCCTGGGCCACACTGCGTTTTTTCGGCCGTCCTAGACAAATCACCCGTCGTGGGAAAAATATAGCTGACTTACTCTTTGGCTGAGTAGGCAGATATGAGATAACCATAGAAGGTCCGGTCATACAGCCATAAGGAAAGGATGACTGAATGGGTAACGGCGTTGGTGGAGTTCCAGGTTGGGGTATGCTAGAAGCTGGAGTTCTAGGTGGAGGAGCTGTGATTGGAGGATGGTGGTGAGGTGGGATCCATGACACTTTGACATTTGTCTTTGGAACTTTGTCTGACGTTAGGTTTTCACAAATTTATAGTTGGAATTTTGGGAAGTAGTTCCATTATTCCAAAGTTTTAGAGGAGTTTTCTGGTTTGAGACGCTGATGTAATTGTGGTTGGTTTTCTGTTCCAAGTGTCAGATAAAGGGATGGCGTTAATCTGAAAAGAGAGCTATAACAGAGGTAGCCTATAAAGCACTGTGTCATTTCCTTGCAGATTACATTAGATGTACTTTGTAAAACTGCTTGATTTATATTGGGGTAGTAAAATGACGCGGTCCTGTCTTATCTCCATGTAGTGGGCTCAGTCTCTCAGACAGAGCCGGCTTCTCCTCAGGATCTGCGCCCTAGAGTAGCCGGGCCTGAGGGCTTGTTTGTTTTCAGGCAAACAATGAGTGACAAGGATGATGAGCTCACACAGAAATCCCACAAAGGGCTGCTTGTAGCCCAACCAAGCTTACAGTCAGCTACACAAAGTCTTATTAACCTTCCTGGTTCTCAGACACACCCTGTCTTTAGCTTTAATATCCTGCTCTGTGTCTGTTTGTTTTTTTTTAATTATAATATTCAGTCACATAAACATTTCCACTCTCCTGTCTTTATGTGGACTCGTAATCTGTTGTCCTTTGTTTGGCAGATGTTAGAGCTGGTTGTGGCCATATTTATTTATTTATAACATAACTCTCCCTTTTTTTTTACTCCTCAGGATGTGTTTTACCATTTCATAGCTTTGCTGTTCTACTTCGCGGCTTTTGTGTTGGAAGCAGCGACTACAGCAGCGAATGGAGGTGCTCACATCAAGCCGCTAAACACCATCAATGAATCTGTCCTGTGTATAACTTACCCTCGGGGCAACATCTTCACCATGCTGACTTACAGGCAATACAGCATCAATGTGGTAGCCACGGTGAGTCCAGCATGCCTCCTCCTCAGATTACACGTTTGTAGATTTTTGTTGGAAATTGGTTAAATGAGCCCACATGTGTCAGGATTAGTGCTTTGCTCAAAAACCCAAATCCTGTACATGTCTTCTGCCCTCTGGTGGACGACGTCCATCTTTTTTATAATAAATATTAGCAAATTATAAAATATAAGATATTAGCATGTAACTTTTATCAATATTGGTCTATTTTAATATAAAAATACAAATTAAATAAATTAATACACATAAAATATATAGAAAATAAATAAAAGTTAATAAAACATTTAAACATTTTCTGTAGAAACTAATTAAGCTGTTATTCTATTAGCCTCTGAATTGTTACATTTTTAATTGTTAAAGGTTGCATATTAAATAATGTAATAAAAAGGCAAGGTAGCTTTATTTATATAGCACATTTCATTCAAAGAGGGCAATTAAGTGTGCTTTCCATTAGCAAGAACATTAAAATCAACATGACAGAAAAGACTATTTAAAAATGTAAAAGAATAAAGTGTAAGGGTTAGCATTTTCAGTGCAGAATGTGCAGCATAAGGACATTAATTCAAAGGCTGAGGAATTCATGAAGGTTTTCAATTTTGATTTAAACGTTTCTAGAGTTGGGGCACATCAGAGGTCATGAGGAAGCTGATTCCATCTGTGTGCAGCATGGTAGCTAAAAGCACCCTGTTTGGTTCTGACCCGGGGTTCTGCAAGCTGACTGTTTCCTAAGGATCTCAGAGCCGGGCTGGGCGTATGTACCTAAAGGAGATCTGACGTGTTCTGGCCCCATTCCATTGAGTGATTTATAAACTAGTAGAAGTACTTTGAAATCGATTCTGTAGTTTACTGGTAACCATTGCAGAGATTTAAGAACAGGAGTGATGTGCCCGGTTCTCTTGTTAAGACTCCAGCAGCAACATTCTGAATAAGCTGCAGTTGCTTAAAAAAATTTTTGGGAAGAACATTCAAAAGACCATTGCAATAGTCCCAACCTACTGGAGATGAACGCGTGAATGAGTTTCTCCAGATCTTGTGTGAACATGAGACTCCTGAGCTGTGCTATTTGATGAAGATGATAAAATGCTGATCTAGTTATAGCCTTAATGTGACCAGTGAAGCTCAGGTCTGAAACAGTTATGACACCAAGATTTCTAACCTGAGTCTTTGTCTTTATTCCTCTGGAGCCAAGTTGGGCAGTAACCTCCATACTTTGTTTAACTGGAGGAATTTTGACTGCATTCAGTCATTAACTTGCCTCAAACACTGACCGGGGGAGCCTAGGGGACCACAGTCACTAGGTGATAGAGCTAGGTAGAGCTGGGTGTCATCTGCATAATTATATGTAATGTTATTATGGTGCATAACCTGACCCAGGAGGAGCATGTAGAGATTGAAGAGTAGTGGCCCAAGAATTGAGCCTTGGGGGACCCCACATGTCATGATCAGCTTTGATTTATGATCGCCAATAGAAACAACATAACCCCTGTCTTCAAGATACGATTGGAACCAACTATGGACTGTGCCTGAAAGTCCCACCCAGGTTATGAACCTATCAAGAAGGATGTTTTGATCCACAGTATCAAAAGCTGCAGTGAGATCAAGCATCATCAGGACAGATGTTTTGCCTGAATTTGCATTTGGGGACACCTGAGCACTACTGTTTGCTTGTTTAAAACGCTCCAAGATTCATGGCATTTTCGTCACACAGCTTTTTGACACTGACGAACGTTAGCAACGTTGAGGATTTACACGACAGTGAGAGAGCACCAGAAGAGAAGGAGGAAGAAAACAGCCAGAAAGGCGCAACTTTCTGCAGTTTTACTTTTTATTTATCATTTTTGGACTCACCTCTGGACTCACAGAACTTAAACTCCTCAAGGTTCAACAGGAAATAAGCAGTAGAAATCTTCTAGTTTTGCTGTGGTTCGTTTGAGCACCAGCCATCAGGCCTGGTTACCATGCCCGATCCAGCCCTCGGCACCAGCTACTAGGCATGGCTCAGCCTCTGGCTTCTATACCAGCTATCAGGCCTGGAAAATAGGCTGCTGCATCGACTGCTGGGGCCATTTTCAGCAAAATTTACGGACATATACATATTCATCAGGCCCAGTTGCTACGTCTGATCCAGCCTTCGGCATTTGACACCAGGCTTGGCCCAGCCTCTGGCTTCTACACCAGCTATTCAGGTCCAGGAAACAGGCTTCCTGCATCGGCTGCTGTGGCTACTTTCAGCAAAGTTTGTGTTGCTATTTGAAGCTACTCAAACTTCATCAAGTTTTTTTTCTGTTTCTGAAGGATGTTTGACTAATTTCCAGGTTGGTTGGGGATTTTCCTGCCATCTTAGGTTTGTGTAGCTTACAGACATATACCTAGTTATTGCATTCATCAAGAGTTGTAGAAAATGGCTTTTTTCATAGTTTAATTTCTCCTTTTGGTTGTGGGGGACTTTGGGAAATTTAGTTTTTTTAGAACAAGTACATTTAGTAGTGAGCTCAGTCTGCAAGACTTGGTTCCCAGCTCCACCTGTATTACTTATGCTGCACATCCTGTACAAGTACCAATTCATTTGACACATGACATGAACCTGTCGTCTGACTTACCTGTAGTTTCACTCAAACTTCGAAATTTTCTTGCTTTGTCTGATTTTCTCTCAAGCTATGGATCATTGTGCTCAGTCTTAACATTCTTAAAAACAAAGTAAGCATGCAATGTCACTAAACAGAGACTTTTGGTTATTTGATTGTTGCTCATATCTGGTAATGTGGAACCAAACCCAGGTCCTGAGCTTCAGTGTATTCAAACTCCATCTGAATTTAGATCCTCACCCGGACTGAAGGTTATTCATCTTAATGTGCGTAGTTTGTTCTCTAAGATAGATACAGTGGGGCAAAAAAGTATTTAGTCAGCCACCGATTGTGCAAGTTCTCCCACTTAAAATGATGACAGAGGTCAGTAATTTTCATCATAGGTACACTTCAACTGTGAGAGACAGAATGTGAAAAAATTCCATGAATTCACATGGCTGGATTTTTAAAGAATTTATTTGTAAATCAGGGTGGAAAATAAGTATTTGGTCAATAACAAAAATTCAACTCAATACTTTGTAACATAACCTTTGTTGGCAATAACAGAAGTCAAACGATTACTATAGTTCTTTACCAGGTTTGCACACAATGTAGCTGGTATTTTGGCCCATTCCTCCATGCAGATCTTCTCAAGAGCAATGATGCTTTGGGGCTGTCGCCGAGCAACACGGACTTTCAACTCCCTCCACAGATTTTCTATGGGGTTGAGGTCTGGAGACTGGCTAGGCCACTCCAGGACTTTCAAATGCTTCTTAGGGAGCCACTCCTTTGTTGCCCAGGCGGTGTGTTTGGGATCATTGTCGTGTTGGAAGACCCAGCCACGTTTCATCTTCAAAGCTCTCACTGATGGAAGGAGGTTTTGGCTCAGAATCTCACGATATATGGCCCCATTCATTCTTTCCTTAACACGGATCAGTCGTCCTGTCCCCTTAGCAGAAAAACAGCCCCAAAGCATGATGTTCCCACCCCCATGCTTCACAGTAGGTATGGTGTTCTTGGGATGCAACTCAGTATTCTTCTTCCTCCAAACACGACGAGTTGAGTTTATACCAAAAAGTTCTACTTTGGTTTCATCTGACCACATGACATTCTCCCAATCCTCTGCTGTATCATCCATGTGCTCTCTGGCAAACTTCAGACGGACCTGGACATGCACTGGCTTCAGCAGCGGAACACGTCTGGCACTGCAGAATTTGATTCCCTGCCGTTGTAGTGTGTTACTGATGGTGACCTTTGTTACTGTGGTCCCAGCTCTCTGCAGGTCATTCACCAGGTCCCCCCGTGTGGTTCTAGGATTCTTGCTCACCGTTCTCATGGTCATTTTGACCCCACGGGATGAGATCTTGCGTGGAGCCCCAGATCGAGGGAGATTATCAGTGGTCTTGTATGTCTTCCATTTTCTGATAATTGATCCCACAGTTGATTTTTATCTCACCAAGCTGCTTGCCTATTGTAGATTCACTCTTCCCAGTCTGGTGCAGGTCTACAATTCTTTTCCTGGTGTCCTTCGAAAGCTCTTTGGTCTTGACCATAGTGGAGTTTGGAGTCTGACTGTTTGAGGCTGTGGACAGGTGTCTTTTATACAGATGAGTTCAAGCAGGTGCCATTAATACAGGTAACGAGTGGAGGACAGAAAAGCTTCTTAAAGAAGATGTTACAGGTCTGTGAGAGCCAGAGATTTTCCTAGTTTGAAGTGACCAAATACTTATTTTCCACCCTGATTTACAAATAAATTCTTTAAAAATCCTGCCATGTGAATTCATGGATTTTTTTTCACATTCTGTCTCTCACAGTTGAAGTGTACCTATGATGTAAATTCCTGACCTCTGTCATCATTTTAAGTGGGAGAACTTGCACAATCGGTGGCTGACTAAATACTTTTTTGCCCCACTGTATGGTTCGGGTTTGGACGAAGTCAACAGATGCAGATATTATTATGATATCTGAAACTTGGTTGTCCAATTCTGTGCCTGATGATCATATTAACATGTCTGGTTATAACATCTATCGTACCGATAGGCTTAAGAAGGGGGGTGGTGTTGCCACCAATGTTAAGTCAAAGTTTGATGCCACAATAGTTCTATCGGAATCAATTTGTAAACAAATGGAAATTCTGGCTCTGGATGTAAATATCTCAAAAAGTATTTGTGTAACAGTGGTTTGTTGCTATAGACCTCCCTCTGCCTCAAAGGAAGCACTGCATACTTTAAAGGATTTCCTGTCCAGACTGAACTATAGTGAGCTTGTGTTAGCAGGTGACTTAAACTGGGATTGGCTCAAATCTGTTTCAGACGAGTTTAAGTTGTTCTGCAACTCTGTTAATCTAACCCAGATGATTAATTTGCCCATTCTGCTGAGTCATAAAAGCCTTGAAAAGTCCACCTTAATCGATCTGGTTCTGACAAATGCTCCTTATAAATTTTCATCTAAGGGTGTCTTTTGCAATGACCTAAGTGATCATTGTGTTGTTGCTGTTATTAGGAACACTAAGGTGCCCAAGACAAAACATCGTGTTCTTTTTAGAAGGATTCTCAAGCATTTTAATGAACAACCATTTTATCTTGACTTGTCAAACTTTGACTGGAAGAAAATAGCCTTGTTTCCAGATGTTGAATTAGCGTGGTCATATTTTAAGGATGGTTTTATGCAAATTGTGAATAAGCATGCTCCATTAAGAAGGTTCAGGATAAAAGGCCATGAAAATCCCTGGTTCTAACCAGAGCTGGCAGATAATATTCATGAGCGAAACCTAGCTTGGGCTAAAGCTAGGAAATCAGGGTCTTCCACTAATTGGCTCCTTTTCAGACAACCAAGAAACAAATGCACTTCCTATATAAAGAAAGCTAAATCAGAATTTTACTTTTCTGTCGCCACTGAGAACTTAAACATTCCACAAAGGTTTTGGAAAATTATTAAGTCTCTTTCAGTGAGTGAAAGTTCTAGTGTCCTACCCACCTTCATAAACAAGGATTATGTTCATGTCCATGATAAAATGGAGATTGTGAATTGTTTTAATAAGCATTTCATATCTTGTGGCTCATTGTTTGATTCCCTGAATCCAGCCTCTGTGGATTCTTGTGCTGACCTTCCATTGCACATTGACCATCAATTTAACATTGCCCCTTTTTCCGTGTGGGAGGTGCATAAAGCTCTTAAAGCATTGGATCACAGAAAAACTTCAGGTCCTGACTTAATTGATCCATATTTCGTGGCAGAGCCCCTCACAAGTCTTTTTAACCTCACATTAGATACAAATGAAATTCCCTCGGTGTGGAAATCAGCTTTTGTTACCCCTTTGTTAAAAGGAGGAGATCCAACAGAATTATCTAAATATATAGGCCAATATCAAACTTGTCTGTATTGGCCAAAGTTCTTGAGGCTCTGGTGAGCGAACAGTTAAATGAGTGTTTAAACACTAATGCTATTTTATCTGAATATCAATCAGATTTTAGGAAAACACACAGTACCATCACGGCTGCACTAAAAGTGGTAAATGACATTGTTGTTGCTCTGGACAAAAAGCAGCATTGTGCATCCCTTTTTATAGATTTGTCAAAAGCATTTGACACTGTTGACCATGGTATTCTAAAACTTGGACTCCTCCAGTCAGGACTATCTAAAAAAGCAGTGGGATGGTTCTCAAATTATCTTAAAAACAGGTCTCAGTGTATTAAATCAGATGGACTTTGTTCTGATTTTGCCATAGTCCACAAGGGGGTGCCACAGGGCTCTGTGTTGGGCCCTCTTTTATTTATCATTTACATTAATTACTTTAAACTCTAAAGAAAAATTTAAACAGGACATAGCAGAGAAACGACAGACTCTAAATGATGAGAAGAAACGTTTAAAAGCTGAAAACATTCATCTGGAGAACCAGAAATCTGAGTTTGAGCAGAAAAAGATAGATACAGATACAGCATGAGATTATAGATAGACAATTTCTGCTCAAAGAGGAATTAAACATTCAACTTTGCATAGAGAATCTGCAGGAAGAGACAAGGGAGTTTACTAAAGCAGTAGAAGAAGCTAAAAGTGATTTCAATGAAAGTCTAAAGGATTTAAATGAGAGTTTAAAATGTCTGATCATTCTGATCATTGCGAGTCTGTGTGTGTATGTGTTTGTGGGGGGTGCAGTGTGTGTGTGTGCATGTGGCAAGGACAGGGAGCGCCAAGGGTTAATCAAGCCTGGGACACCAAATTGGGTAGAGTCAGCCCTGGTGTTACCTGACACCTGATGATAGGCCCTGTCAGCGTAGGTAAGCGGCCTTGGGGATTGACCCAGCGGCATGATGACTGAACTTTCTGGAACTGCGCAGCTCTGGGTGGCTGCATGTTGGAGTAGCTCTGTTGACGATATGTAAGTTTTGTCTTTTCTTGGACATTTTTTCTTGTTTCTCAAGAAAAACTGTATTTTTTGGACATTTTACTTTTCTGTTTCTGGTGCTGTGAAGCTTGGAGGATTTTTACTGCAATTTTTTTGCTTTTTTCACTTTTTGAGCATTTGTTATGATGCGTAACCATGGCAACAGGCTGGTTTACAATCGGGAGCAGCAGATTAACATTGGAAAGGCTGAAATAATACCTCAACTGAAGCCACCAGAGGTGGAAAGTAACGAATTACATTTACTCACGTTACTGTAATTGAGTAGCTTTTTTTGTTTATTTATACTTTTTAAGTCGTTTTTAAAATATGTACTTTTCCTTGAGTACGTTTTTAGAAAAGAATTGTAATTCGATACATTTTAAATCATATCCGTTACTGAGTAAAAATAAATTGTAGGCTTAATAAATTAAAAATATTACATGTAGCAGCATCGGAACAGAAAGAGACACATGCATGAGGGTACACTTATAATAATGAGGACTAACAGCCATTTTTACCGCAGTTTTGCTCAAAAACATCAGTCCATGTGATCCACTCGCTGTTTACCTCTTTCCCTCAGCTGTGCGAGCTCTGTGAAGCTGACCCCCATCAGCTTCAAAAGTGCAGGCAAATAGGCTGCTCGGTTATAACTAGAGGGGTGAGGAGGACTAATGCAAACAAATGGGAATTACAAGAGAGTGACTAGGAGGAAAACATGAGGAAAGCCTAGAGGGAGCTGGGGAACACAAGAAGACTCATGAGGAGAACCTGAGGGAGAACAGGAGGGAGCTGGGGACCAAGGGGACACAGAACATGACGCATATTAACCCTTTGATGCATGAATTATGAAATCTTCAACCATGATTTTTTTAACAATTTTTTTCATTGGTCTTTGGGTGTGAATGAAACAAATTTCAACAAATATTTTTGTAAAATTTTGTTCATTTACAAATAATTTATTACATGTCCACCTCAGTGGACAGCGTGCATTCTGAACATGAAATATGTTGGCTTGGCTTACTGAAGTCCAAATGGAGGGGCTCAAATGCAATAAAGTCTTCAACAACTGTGCATAATAGCAAAAACAAATAAATAACAATTTTGAGTACCTGTCCACTGTAGTGACCGTTATGCATCAAAGGGTTAAATCATATCCGTTACCCACATATTAATCATTTAAATTAATTGGTCTAAATGTGACAGATGCAAACCTGCACTTTTATGCCGATGATGCAGTTATTTACAGCTGTGGAAACACTCTTACTCAAGCCGTAGATTCAGTACAGAAAGCTTTTGTTGCTGTCCAACATTCATTACTTCAGCTTAAACTTGTTCTCACCGCAAACAAAACCAAGCTCATGTTGTTTACAAACTCGAGAAGACAGGCTCAAGTGGTTCCTTCAGTGACCACTCTTGATGGTGAAGAAATATTGTTGGTTTACTCTAGTGTCAAAAAAATCGATACCTAGATATAAATCGATGCTAAAAGTAGTATCTAAATTAGATATTCCATCCCTGTGGTATCGATATTATGGACTATTATACACAGCCTTCTTCAAGTACACCGACACGCATGACAGCCAGATGCTGTAAAGCAGCCTCCGCCTCCCAGACAAACAGAAGAAGACGCTGCATGGCTACATTACAATTTCCCACGCGAGTTGTCTCCGATCCAAGTTTTGTCTGCCAAATAAATAAACAAAAACATATACAGCGAATTTGGGAGGCGCTTCACAGCCCAACTTAATTTGCATACCAAGTCCAACATGTAGTTGTATATTCACGCTTATGTGCTTATGTGCTTTGTTTTCTCCCTTTATTGACCAACAGAGTTGTTCAAAAGTACAGAACAAAACACATGGCATTACATCTTATGACAAAAATGCACCTTAAACAGAGTTTAAGCAGCAAAACATCACTCTGTAAATAGTGTATATATAGTGAGACAATTCATGATTTAAAGTGTTAACTTTCGCCAGTTTTTGTATGCACGTTTTAAAAAATGCTGATACTTGAAAGGTTTAAGCACTTTATACACTTAATTCTTAACATTTAATTTTTGCAATATAAATTGAGGAATGTTATTTTTTTAATAAACTTGTTCAATAAATTGGTGTTTTTAAATGGTATCGAAATAGAGTATCGAGTTTTTTCCCCAGTATCGAATCGAGTTTGAAATTTTAGTATCGTGACAACCCTAGTTCACTCGTATAAATATCTGGGTTTCTTGATTAATGACTCACTCACCTTCAAACCTCATGTGGAGAATCAGGTGAAGAAGCAGAAGTCAAGACTGCGTTTTTACATCGTTATCTGCATTTTGCTGTTTTGGTGGTGGGCTAAATCTGTTTGTAATTCACAGATTACAAACAAAATCAATCACATTTCTCAAATGGAAGTGCTTGGAAGCTGGTTTCAGATGTAGCGATTGTGTGAAAATTCTGCATGTTCAGAGTTTTGTGGATGAGAGACGGAGGCTGTGCAGCTGTAAAGCCTCCAGACATTTTTCAAGCTCACTTGTGAATGCCATTTGTTATTTGTCCCCAACTGTTGCAGCCCAGTGAGAAGCCGGCTTTAGCAAACACAGTTTGTCCTTAACGTGCTGTAATAGCTGAATAAAAACGTGCTGGATGGTGCAGGTACAAAACTGCATTTGTTTTATTTCTCCATACCAAAAAGATTTGTTCTCATTTGTTAATTTGCTTTCTTCTTTTTTCCAGATATTTGCATTTTTTGTGACACTTTGCTACGGCTGCAGTTTGGCGATGGGTTTCAAGAGATGGAGGAAGTAACCGGCAGCATAGACATGAACTGATATCCCCGGCTTCATGACGTCTGCCCTAAAGCGTCAGCCTCACCACGCGATGATGCTGTGGCGGTCACAGAGCAGTCACCACTTCAAACACAGAAAACAACACACTATGTACTTTTTAATTATTATTTTTACCCACAAAAATCTGTGGTGCTGAGAAGATCAGCTCCAGAAAGGATCAGCCTGCTGTTGGCAAGAGTTCTTAAGGGACAACTAACTGAGCTTTATCCTGGAGATTTTGGAGACTTTAAAAAGTTGTTTTGCAAAATGAAAACAAGTTTTCTGTCATATGTAATAATAATCCCATTCGTTGATTCATGAAATTCATCAAAATAAGCCTTTAATTATTACTGAATAAAGTGTGTGCTGCAGATGGATTTGATAGCCATGTTTGTTTTATAAGGCCGTCTGACGAGCTGAGGAGTGACATCACACCATCTCACTGTTTATACTGTTGAAGGTTCTGGTTTTATTAAGAATTAACCATTTTTTACAGTATTATAACTGTTTTACACATTTATTCACTATTCCTAATATTCACATTTCTACTGAAACCTGTAGTCTAGTAATCTGGTAATTTTGATGAGTTACACTAACCGTTTATTTAATCTGATCAATTAAAAAGCAAAATGGTTCTAAAATCTTTTTCCACTGACCGTATCGTTTAGTTGTTTTATTAGTGTTTGTTGTTTATATTTAACTGTTGATTCATTATTTAACAGCTTTATTGATTATTTTGGTTAATCAATTTGACTGTTGCTGGCATTATTGGATCATAATGATTATTAACAGTCACTACTTTTTCTGTAAACCTCAAATGATTTTGAAATAAAAAAATATTGCTAATATAAAATTGTGTGTGATCATTAACGCTGTCCTCACTGTGAGCTGTGTTTTAATCTGTAATCAAGAGATGCGAAGGACTTTTCATTGAGGCGTTAACCCTCTCGGGCTCAAAATAAGCTTTGATAAAAGGATGAACAACTAAGTCCTTCAGCGGTACTTCTGAGTTAAAAAATGCTCATGAAATACCTATGTGGAGTTACCACGTAGGTTTTAACATTGCAAATCTGGAACGCCTGCCTCCAGACGGTTATAAGAAACAATATCTGGACAATTGAAGGTAATAATTTTCCTTAATACCAAATTATGATTCGAAGTGAACACAAGTCCTTCTGGCAGGACAAAACCACCCAGACTCCAGGTCCAGGGAATAATAACGACCTGAAAACTCACTATATCATGTTAATTAGACTGTAAATCTTGTTAACTTTCATAAATGCATGAGCAGCGAGTTTTCTCCCATCATGCTGTCTGTTTCCTAACCCAACAGCAGAGCTCTTTTACGTCAGGACACTACAACCTTTGCAATCATAGCCACAAAGTTCACTTCAATTTGTAATAAAGGAAACCCATTTAGTGCTCTATTAAAGATAACAATTATTGTTTATCAGGCTATGAAATAAAAACGTATTGGTATTTTTATTAGGACAAAGGAAACGTTCATTCCATCTTTGATCAAATTTGCAAACACATTTTGAGTTTAATTTGAGGAAAATAATATATCATAAAGGTAAAATGAAAAATCCTGGTGTATCATTTAGGCACAGCTGCATATTATTTCCCCTCTGCACAGCTCGATGATGGTTAAATAAACTGTGTGTGTGTGTGTGTGTGTGTGTGTTTGGCATCATTCAGGGTAAATGGTTAAAACTGGCCTCTGTTGTGGCAATGAAAACTTTGGTCAGACAGTAGCCTAAACCCTAACCCTTTAGAAGTGGAAAACCTTTCAGTTTGTTGTTCCCTGAATGAAGGCATTTGTCCCTTTGGAAAGGCAAGCAGTATGCAGGCAGCTGTGGGCCTTTTGTTGTTGTTTATATAGGCAAAGAAAACTGAAATCTTCAAATATCTAATACATTTTCCCAACAAAGGCAAAAAAATAAGATGGGAGAAAACTTTATACTGTAATTTTTATTTTGTCCACTAGGTGTCAGCCTTTATTCGTAATAGAATGAAAGTTTTGTCGTTCATATTCAGCTTGTTTTGCAATATTTACTCGGCACGTTCCTACTTTCTTCCAGACCAGTCATAGTAATGGTTTTAGCTGAAACCGTTTTAACGCTATTTATCTGTTTCTGCTTTTGCAGCCATTCGCTGAAATAAAACGGATATAAAAAGGACAGTAACTTAATAAGTTTATGTGTTCATAACAAGACAATCTCACTTGTAAATCCCCAAAATAAAAAGCGACTTTCACAATAAAACATAACCTCGCATCAACATGACAGGTATCAGTTCTACATTTATTATTAATTGCATAAAGTACTTTCAGGTTAATCCTATGTACAATTGTACTGTTTTAGTGTGGGACAACTCATTTAATAGCACTAAAATGAGCCTAGCTCAGCTCTTATTTTGACAGAAACCCGTAACCGGAAATATATTTTCTTTTATGATTTTGGCAAATTTGACGCTTCCTTTGCGTCTTTCCCCTTTCCCCCTTTTCCATCAGTAGTACTAGGCAGCCACGGTGTAACGTAGTGTCTGTGGTAACGTACCTGTCAGCGGACGGAGTATCGTTCCCAAAACAAACAGCTTGGATACGTTTTCGTTCTCTGTCAGACTGCTACAGACCACAGTCTAGTTAGTCATGGATGTGAGCGGGACGACGCGGAGGGAAGAGGGGGATTTAAATTTATCTTTTCGTCTCAGCAGCTTTTGATTTCAAACGCCGCACCAGAGCAGGACCGGACTGCGATAAAAGTTATTTCTCTATTTCCGGCCTTTACACATCATTGGGGCTCCGTTTGCGCGTCTGCGTTGATACTCTTCTGGAAGTTTTGGCTCTTCCGAACAGCGGGAAAACGGCTCGCCGTGTCGGGACTGACTTCAGGAGTGGGTCCTGAAAAATGGAGGCTGTTATCGAGAAGGAATGCAGCGCGCTCGGAGGACTCTTCCAGACAGTTATCGGAGACATGAAAGTAAGTTTAAGTGTGTTCACTCAGAGGGAAACAAGCCACTCAACCTGGCTCGTTAACAGCAGCGTAGCTAACGAGAGACCACCTACACGGGTTAACCAAGCCAACTCAAACACCCATCAATTGTTATTCAGACATAGAACAGAGGACGTTTTCATTTTAGACTGCACTGCTTTTTCCAACGTTTAAACCCATCATTTGATCCAGTTTAAAGCAGCAGCAGCCGTAAAAGTCCAGCTAGGGCAATAATTCAAAACTGGGACATCTTATTTTCAAGGTATTCTTGGATAATTAGCAGATTAACCCCACAGCTGTCGTCCTTGCCTAAAGGAATGTCGCTGTCAGGGCAGAAAATTACCCACAGGGCATGAAGACTTTGACATGTGGAGGTCAAATGTCCAGCCATCGGGTCTACTGGAGTCTAAAAGTTTGTTATGAATACTGCTGAGGCATTCAGCACCTCTCAGCGTGTCTGTCTTCACTCCACTGGATGTTGCCCCAGGTATCTCAAGATGGTCTGTAAAAATATGCAAACAATTAAAATATTTGTGTTCTTCTATGAGATATTCAAATTTCTAATGATGGAGGGAGTCTTTATGGCTCAGCTGATTGGTGTGTGTGTGTGTGCACCCTGGTTGCAAATTTTCTGGAGGACAAAAGTTGTACAGTAAACATTTGTAGTTATGCATTTATTTGAATTTAACAAAATGACACCAGGTCAAAATTACACATATATACCAAATTAACCATCACTTCTATAGCTTACACTTGTTGCTGCTGGAGTGGACATTCGTGGAAAAGCCATTCAAGCAAGGCACATTTTGGGAAAAACAACAAAAATATAATTCAAAGGTGTAGTCACCTTTCTTCAAGCTCTTCCAAGAGTCACAGAATTTGATGGTTGCAGAAAATGGTACAACACTGGATGCAACAGATATTGTCTAACAATCCTACCTTTTTGACCCTTTCTTTTGGCACCTTCTCTGCCATAATTACTGTAATAAATGCATGTAAGTAACCGTGTAATAATTTGGTGTGCCAGCATATATATTTTAGTGCTTTAGGGTGAAAAATAAGGCGGTTTTTAGCTTTCTTGGTTTATTCTTGTTTTAAATCACAGCAGCTCAGAGCCACCACCAGTCTGGGAAAACTACAAACAGGTCAAAGTCACAGAAACTCACCCCAAACCTCTCACTCTCTCTGCCATGCCAGCCCCTGACACACACACACACACACACACACACACACACACACACACACACACACACACACACACACACACACACACACACACACACACTGCCAAAGCAACTGGCCGACAGCTCTACCCGTTGAAACAGGAGAGGCTGTGTTCACAGACAACAGGTCCGTCACCTAAACGTTTCCCAAAAAGAACAGAACCAGATTCTGACCAGAACATGCAAAACAACTCCTTAAATTTTCTGTCCGCTCCCGCGTGGCTCTGACCTCACCTCCTGTTCAGCTCCTCCAAGTCGAGATCATGCGATTTGTGAGCACAGAGGGGTATGTGCAGAGGTTTAAAGCAGTAGGTAAAGGTTTCTGTGGAAAGGAAAAAGCATTTGTCCATTGACTGAATAAATGTTTATAAGCCATCTTGTGAGGTCAAGGTCAGTTGACCTGAACTGGGTTTAGGTCAGATCTCTACTAAGGCAGATCAAGAAAGAATGATGAGTGAGACTAAGATGACCCATGGTGATGTAATGCCTAGAGAATTTTGGGCTGTGTGGGATGAGTTCAGTTGGTTGTTTGGTGCCATGTTTGACATGAAAACATGAGATTCCTTAGGCTCCTAGTAGTAGTGCCACACTAGTGGCAAAATCTACTCATTCTTTGGTCACCATCTTTTTCATACAGTGTCTCTTAGCCAACTCTTTATGCATTATACCACTTGTTCTGTGTACGGAGCTCTGAGTTCAGGAATTTGGATAAATCTGAGGCCCATCTGGAACCGGGCTCATTAGACCGTAGTATTAGTGCTCTCTTTGTGTTGGAAACTTTCCAAAGGAGGCCCATGACCCATTTTACAACCTAACACATAGAGGACAGGATGGTAATCTTCATTTGTCAATTAAATTTGGGAGTTACAGAAAATATGAGTTTAATTGCAGCAAATGAAAGCCATTTGGATAAAACCTGGTATGATTACACATTCCCTGTGTTTTGTAAACTAAGGTTTGATGTCAAGTGGGTTAAAACATATATGTATGGGTGACTGCTTAAAAATTGGTTCAGCAGTTCATCACTGATGCTAAAGATAAGTTACGTGCATATTTGTAAAAATTGTGATATTTGTCTGGATAATGGGATGGCATCAGTCATTGTTTGCCTTCTTTTCCCACAGAGCAGCTACCCTATTTGGGAGGATTTTATCACCAAGGCAGGAAAGCTGCAGTCACAGCTTCGGTGAGTACTTCATATCCCCTCTGCCTATTTCATAAATCATTTTCCTGATATTTGCAGCTTTCTTTAACTGACAAAGTCAAATGTTTACATCTCAAATTTTCTGCTTTGTTAATATTTCCCATCAGATGTCTGCAGTGGTGTCCTTCCTTAAAGGAGGTTGACCAGGCCATTTTAATGAGCAGCCATTTTAATGTTTATCCTAAAGCCTTATCTGTCATCACTACTATTTAGATTTAATTAGACAGCCTTCCTACACTCTAGTTCCCTCTGATTTCATATGTCTTTAGTGTACTGTAAATCTCCTGCCAAAATAATTCCAAACATTCTTGGAACAACAGATGCCAATCCCAGCCACCTCTCCTAGTTAGTTTTTACCCGTTTTCATAAGACTCGGCACGCTGGCAAATCAGCATAATACTGTTGTCACAGTGTGTCTTATGAAAGCGGCATGGCGATGCTGGAATTGTGTGGCTTTAGTTGCTCCAAGCTTGGTAGTAATGTTATCGCAACACCAGACTTGTGAATGAGGATAACGCCTTGGCGCAACAGAGGGTTATGTCACGATCCCATGTAGAAGGTCCGCCAAGCCCCAGCTAGCAACTACACTGAAAATAAAAGTAAACATGAGCAATGAGTTTTGCTTTTGTGAACAGAATGCTCTGAGATGGCAAACTGGAGCGATGCAGAGCTCCGGGAGCTTCTCTCCGTTAGAGCTGAAACTCGGATCACCAGACAGTTCACGGGAACTGTGAAGGACAGACACCCAGTGTTTCTCCCACATAGCGCCACGGCTACGAAATCACCCCCCCAACCCACTCCCTCTCACGGAAAAGCAAAGTGTTCCGCAAGATATTACCCCCTTCCCCGCTTTCACAGTAACAAGACGATTCGTGAATGTAAACACCTCACCCCCGTACGGCAGCGAAACGGTCCTGAGCGCCCCCGCTCTCACGGCCGATGCATAGGCACAGAAACAATCCGCAATTGTAACAGCCCAACCCCGCGCGCCACGGCTGGAAATATTCCTAGAGGAAACACTGGACAACTTTAGGAGTGGCTTGTCAAAAAACCGTAAGGGGTGCAGCTTCAATCGCAATGGGGAGCCTGAGTCTCCTCCCTTTCCTGTCGACTCATGGGTCCCTGGAAGAACGAAAAAATGAATGCATGTCAACGGGACTAAAAATGCTATTTTCTAATCCGCTTAGCCTTACGCCCTGGATCACACATATGTTGTACTGCAATTTAAAGGAAAAATAATGATGGGTGTTTTGAAAACACCAGTCACGTACTTTGAGATTTTTTAGCTTGTAAAAGTTCGTATTTAGCATGACTACACACCAGAAATCGTCAGGTCGCATATGTGACGTCACCAGATAATCTCCTCTCACCAAAGTAGCTGCTACTTACCAAATGGGCAGATTTTATGGTGGTTCTTTCCTTCTGTGGGAAGTTTGCTGAACTTACAGGGAGTTTCCTTCAGTTTTCTCCGTGTCTGGTTCGATGATGTCACTTTCGTGAAGCACATTTGTAGTCCTGGACTTATTTTTACACAAAACCTAAAATAGCGTTTCCCCCGTTCGAAAAGAAGCACGTTCTTGGTATCTTTATTCATCTTTAAAATTCACCGACATCATGTGTGAAATCCATGTCACAAAACAAAAAGTTAGAAAATAGCATTTTTAGCCCCATTGACTTGCCAGGGTTTTTCCTGCATTCAAATTTGCGTGGCAGCCGCCTCCAGCTAGTTTTGTGCCGCCCCAGCCTGATTTCACTCTGCCCCCAGCTATACAGATGTTTTTTAACTGCAGTTGCAGCGTTGCGCCACTACAGGAGGGCTGTATCAGCAGCGGTGCACCAAAGTGCGCTAAAACCGCTGCAGACAAAGAAGATCAAAAATTGCTTTTCTTGCTAGTTTGCACATATCTGCGGTTGGTGCTATTGACGTCCGGGCTCTTCCATATCAGAGCAGGGCTGTACAGCGCGACAAAAATAACTGTCTTAGTGTCTGTCAACTGGTGCAACATCTTTGAATTACTATTTTCCCCATAACTTTATTGAACAAAGGTAAGTTACGTGTAAGAAAAATGCTTTTTACTGGCGCAGTGTGGTCATCTGGATGCAGTGGAGGAAAATAAAGGAACCAGTAAAAGCAGAACCGGTCCAAAGTTTAGGATCAAAAGTGCAGCTACACGCTGATTGGCTAATGCTAAAGCTAACGGGTAGCAGTCTCACGATCAAGTGGCGCACAGAAACATATATGAATAAGGATGAAACTAAGAAAGACTAAATTCTACAAGTGGATGAAAAGTCCCCACCGTCCTGTTTATTCTGCATCCTGCAGCGCTACGGATCAGAACCGCTGCAGATACGAGTCACAGTACTGCTGGCGTAGGAAGTACGACAAGCCGTTGTAGTATATAATTCACAAACTCTTCTATCTTTGAACATAATTTAAACTGGATTATTGCCAACCCGTACATAGGGATGGGTACCTTTGACATTTGAATCGATCCGGTACTAATTCCCAGTACCTACGAATCGATACCGGTACTTAACGGTATCAATTTTCGATACTTTTGAGTGTTTATTATTTTAATTATCTTTTATAATATATATTTTTCTCAATATATAACAATATTTGATAAATATCACGATAAATAACATTCAACTGTTTGTACTAACATCGTCCTTGTAGTTTTATAAGCTGATAATTAAACTGAAGCAAACATCTTTATTGTGAACTCAATTTACTGCGTATCTTCATTCCTTTTGCCGTCTTTTTTCATTTGATTTTTCCTACTGGGAAGTTAGAATTTCCGAAGAGAAAGCGAACGCACCATTAGCTGATAACAATGGTGGCAATGGAAGCTAACATATCAAGCTAACGTTATCTTTAACAGTTTATTTAACTGCTGGAGCAGATTAAAACGATGATGCCTCACACTTAGATCGTTGTCGCTGGTTTCATCTTCACCCAATCACCCGTCACATTTAGTAAAGTGAAGCCAAACTTTAGAGCGCGTTCATGTTCTAGTCGGAAAGCCAGAGTTCCGAGGAGAAAGCGAACGCACCATTAGCGAAACGGAAGCTAACTTATCAAGCTAACGTTATGTTAAACATTTTATTTACCTACCGGAGCAGATTAAGATGAAGATGTCTCACTTAGATCGGTGTCGCTGGTTTCATCATCACCCAGTTACCCATCACATTTAGTGAAGTGGACCCAAGCTTTAGCGTGCGTTCTTTCTACCATGCTGCTCTGTTTACAACTGGCTCGCAGCGACCGACGACATAACGCTCTTGCGCATGTGCAGCTGTCTTGGCAAGTTCTCGTTATGAAGGACGGGTACCGAAACGAGGCACCGTTTGAAACGACGTGAATCGGTGCTCAGTCGGTACTATGGAATTCGGTCGGTACCTTAAAAAGTACCGAATTCGGTACCCATCCCTACCCGTATATAATAGACATGCCACCATTACACTGTTAGCAGCAGAAATTAAATATTATTACCATTTCCAGTACAAATGCATGTTAATGAAAAGCATTATATTTTACTGGATATATTTATGTGTTATTTTGACTAAGATGAGTGTTATTAATACAAACCTAAAATGTTACTGATATATAGGTCAAATATTATAAATATCAGATGGGAAAAAGGGAACTAAACACCAATCTAATGCATATTATTGAGCCTTTTATAATATTTGCCTTTAAAAAGGTGAGGCAGTTGAATGCACAGAGTATGCATGTGCTGGCACATGGTCAGGATGGTACCACCTCTACCTCAATTTGAGCCAGGAAAAACCCTGCTTGCATACATTTTTTCATTCTTCCGGCGACCCATGGTCCGGAAGTGGATGGGCGTGACTTAGGCTTCCTATAAAAAGCTAATTGTGTCCAAACTAAAAAAGGAAATCCGTGACAGCCCAGAGACCGCCCCACAGCTACTTTATACCAGCATCGCGTACTCTTTAGTGAAAAGCACATGATCGCACAACATTACCGCTACAGTCACTTATGAACGACAAAGGTTCACTGATGTCGCCCCAATTTTGCAGCTAATTGGCAGCATTATTTTATGAAAGCGGCTTCTAAGTGGCCTTGTTTCAAATAACAAACCGCTCATGACAGCTGAAATAAAAGCTCTTTGTGCCCCAAATACAGACGTCCCGTGGTCTAAATTATTCTTTGATGGACAATGCATAGCATTTCCTCAGCCATCTAAGTGTCCACGTGTCTTCACGTAGACCATTACTGATACTGACATCTGTAAAAAAAAAGTGCGGTGACGTTAGGTTCCCTACCAGGGGCTGCCCTGTCCCCTTGGTCCATTTGCCCTGTATTAACTCTTATTATAGCTGATGTGTGATTTGAGTGTCTCCGTCATTCAGAGGTTAAATATGTGACCCCGCCTTGATAAACCTCCAGGGAGCATTTGTTACCTTGTTACTAATGGCTGATGGTTTGACTGTAAAATGTTTCAGTCTGAGTATCATTCAAGTGTTAAAGGAACAAATTATTGTACAAATATGAGTGATGGGTACAATCTGCTTATCATTCTCAATAGTTTAGTGGCTGTTTGAATCATTTACTGGTTTAAGCAGTGTGGCCACCATAACATACGCAAGACATTCTGGAAATTTCCCTACATGTACACAAACGTCAGCACAATTTGTTTTTGACTTTATGTGGAAATCAACTTGACATCATCAGATTATTACAGGTTAGATTATCTGCTACTTCTTATTTATTTGAGGTGATACTAAGTGAAAATGTAGATGGGTATAGTCACTAGGGCGCCCTTTTTGGGGGGGTTTGTAAGCAAAGCACTATGACTTTAATTATTATATAAGAGTGCTTCTCCACAGAGGAGTGTTCCTTACATTTTCATGTTCTACCAGAACATCGATTACAGCTGCTAGAAAAGATCTCTTTGACCTTCATTTTGATCTTCATTTATGTCACGTTCTGGTATATTTACTTTTTTCATTCAGAT